GGGTTTGTGCTGAGTTTGCCTCTGCAGTTAGTTCTAATATTTACAATTTCTTTCATATTGTACTGTGTCCTCGGATGTTAGAAATTCTGCACATTTACAACAAATGAAATATTTTAAGCATCAGTTGCTACCATGGACTACTATGCCTCTGGACTATTTGGGGGTGCTTTATCCTGCAATTGCAGAAGTACTAATACCAGCAAGGATATTGGGGGGCATTCTCAGTGCCCTTCTTTGGTCAAAATGGGAAGGCTTCCTGGAAGAGGATTAGCAATAGTTAAGATTATGGGAAAGAAAAGTTTCAGAGAGAATGCAGGGAATTGGCCCTATAGTCAGCTAGCACGGCTTGAGAAACAGTAGGGAGGCATGTGTGGGCGGGCTGCTTGACAGAAATTTGGAGCTGAGGGAGCAGGGGACGTCTCAGAGAAAGAAATAAATGACTGAGGAATGACAAAGGAGGTAAAGGTGGTGAAGTTATCCAGGGTATTTTGGGAATTGGGGTGGTACAACCTAACCCTCATTGTATTGGCAAGCATTCATAGGATAAAGGGAGGTGAACCTTGAGTGGAAAGTGAAAAGCAGAGAAGAGGCAGGTAGGGGTAAGAAGAAGGCAGGAAGTTTGGGCAAGAGAAACTTGAAATGACCAGAGCCAAGACCAAATCTGTGGCAGTAATGGTAGAAGACACAAATTTGGGCATTAGCACCCCTTTTTTCCCTCCCCCGGAGCTTACTCTCAACCTTCTGGGGAATGGTCCATTCCTATTTTCCAGTGTTACAGGCTCTGTGTGGTGCTATGATTTGAACAAGACCTGTCTTCAAATCTGGCCTCAGATACTTCCTAGCTTTGTGACCCCAGACAAATCACTTAACCTCCGTTTGCCTCAGTTTCCTCATCTGTAAAATGGAGATAATGATGTTACCTACCTTCCAAGGTTGTTGTGAAGATCAAAAAAGGGAATGCTTGTAAAGCTCTCAGCACGGTGCCCAGAACATAGTAAGCTCTGTGTAAATGTTAGCTAGTATTATAGTCATGGTCGTTATCATATCCAACCCAACTATGCTAAGGACAATCCTATTTTGGGCTCTAGTCTAGGACTTCCCCAAAAAGATGGAAAGTAAAAAAGGAGGAACTGAACTGCACAGGCACGAATTGGGTACTAGACAGGTAATATCTTCCTACTCAAAGAAAGCCATGATAAGCACAAAGGAATCATAGCATGTACTACAAACTGACCTGGACAGAATTCAGTGGCTCACTCATTATGACTAGCCTACTAGTGTCATTAGCTGGAAGGCTAACACTGAAGCCTTATTGGGACACAGAACCTTTCCCTCACATTCTACCTCTGCATTAGCATTGTCCAGTCAAACAACCCAATTGGATCATTCTGCTGGCTAATCTTCTTTGGCATTAACCCACTCCTATGGCTATTTAGTCATATTCTCCTATTGGTAGCTGAAATTGCCTGATACAGTCACTCCTCTGCTCCCTGCCATCAGCCACTGACACTCTGGGGGAACCTCTAATGATGTCTCACTAGTGGGAAAGACCATTGATTCAACCACAGGCCATTCAAGTCCTCACAAGGCCCTATACCAAAGAAGACATGAAAAGAGGTGGCCTCCATCCTAAGCACAAGCTTATATAGGCATGACCTGTGCTCATAGAATGAAGCCAGGTTGGGGGTAGGGTGGGGAAGAGTACCCTATACCTGACCTTTTAAATAGCTTAGAACTAACCTTATCCTTTGATGATGGAAGAAATCAAGGGGCAGGAAGGTTGTCAGTTTTATAGATTCACTCAGTTTTGGCTCAGTAACCAACTAGAAGAGACCTCCTCATTCCACAGAACAAACCCCTGACGTGTCTTGCTCAGTTCATATAGATGATCTCTATATGTGCCTCATAGGCCAGTCTACCCTCATTAAACTAGGATGATTGAAACTATCTTTTGGGTTTTTTGGGGGGGTGGAATGGTAAAGGGGTCCATCTGCTTTCCTTTGACTGCTTTCTCTCAAGCTCCAAAACTAAATTTTGTGGGCACAAAAAAATACCCCAAATGACTAAAAGATAAACTAAGGCAGAACTCCAAGCCAAAGCACTGTATTAAAGGGACCTGGATCCCCTTAATGAAGTGAATCCCAGACCTTCTTCAAGGTCTGAGATGTTCCCTCCTTCCAGTGCCTTATTTTTTATAAGTCTTAATATCAGATTTATTGCATGAGCATTCTAAAGAGATAATACAATGTACAGAATCCCATTGGTTGATATATGGCACATGGGCTAAAAATGGTGTAAAAGCAGGGTGATGAGTTGGGTGAAGCAGGGAATCTCTACTGACTGGGTGGTCACAAGATGGATGGGCTCTGCGTTAGCTTGACCAAGGAGAGATGGTATATGTCACATACACATGTTCCAAGAACATATCAGGGGGACTTTGTGTACCATGTCATCCATGCTTGGTTTGGTCATGGAATTTGAGCAAAACAGGATGGAGATATCTGTATTCAGTATTCTGGTGGTTGTGCAAGTAAGCTCCATAGCTGGTAAACAAGTAGTGACATTACGTTAAAGGGCCCTATCATAGGGCCCTTCTGTTAGAACCTATATTCCTGTGTGATTCATACAAAATACCGATTAATATATTGTTCATTCTTATACTTATTATTAAATGATACACTAAATGCATCGTAGACTAGAGCCCAAAATGGGTTAATGCCAAAGGAGATTAGCCAGCAGAATGATCCAATTAAGCTGTTTGACTGGACAATGATAATGCAGAGGTGGAAGGCAAAGGAAATGTTCTGTGTCCCAGTAAGGCTTCAATGTTAGCCTTCCAGCTAATGATGCTAATAGGCTAGTCATGATGAGTGAGCTACTGAATTCTGTCCAGGTCAGTTTGTAGTACATGTAGTACATTTCCATTACTACATGAGTATATTAAAATAATTGCTAATAATCACTACCCCTTATAGAATCATAATGAACTAATACTGATTAGAGTTTGAGTAGGGGTACATGATGAATCATCTCTCACATTTCCATCTCTTTGATGGACAAAACTGTTCCTCCACCTCTCCTACCCCCACCCCCGCCCAAGAGATAACTTCTATATGACATGTTTAGATACCATCTGCTTTCCATGCTGGCATGATTAAGGCACCTGAATGTGAAACTAATACCTCAAACTCAGTGTGTCCTAAGACCAACTTATTGTTTTTCCCTAAAACCTGCTTTCCATGTCTACCAATGATAGCATCATGATGCTTCATTAGTCTTCTTTTCTGGTTCTTCATTCTTGCTAAGCCCCCCTAACCTTGGGTGTCCCTCAAGGCTCTCTCTTGGGCCATTTCCTCCCTCAATATTATCTCATTTGGTGATCTCACCAGTTTCCATGACTTCAGTTACAATCTCTATGCAAATAATTCCCACCCTAGTCTTTCTGCCAAACTTCAATCCCACATCACCACCTGCCTCTCGAACATCTAAACTGGGCATCCTACATGCAATCTCAAACTCACCATGTCTAAAACAGCACTCATTACCTTTCCCTGAAAATTTTTCTGCTTCTGAAATGCTCTATGGCTGTCAATAACATCCTCAAATCTTTGCTCTCACTCACACCCCACTCCCATATGCAATCTACGGCCAAATCGTTTCTACCTTTACAACATCTATTGAATATGTCCCCTTCTTTCCATTCATATAGCCTCAAGCCTTGTTCAAGCCCTCATCACCTCTCACTTGGGCTATTAAAACAGACTTCTAACTGATCTCTCTATTTCAAGTCTCTTCTCACTCTAATCCAACCTCCTTTCAACTGCCAAAGTGATTTTTCTATTCATCCTACTGCTCAAGGAGTTCCAGTGGCTCCCCATTACCTTGATGATCAAATATAAACTCATCTGTTTGACATTTAAAGCTTATCATAACTTGGCCTCTTCCTACCTTTTCAAAACTCTTACACCTTACTCCCCAGCAAGCATTCTATGACCCAGACACATTGGCCACCTTGTAGTTTGTTGAATGTGACACTCCATTTCCTATCTCCACAGCTTTGGATTGGTTGTCCCCCATGCCTAGATTACTTTATCTCTTCATGTCTGCTTCTTAGTTAAGTTCAGCCAGAATCCCACTTTTTGCAGAAAGTACTTCCTGGTCCACCTAGCTGCTAATGCCTTCTTTCAGATTAACTTTGTATACTCTTTGTAGGGAGTATCTTAGCCTCACTCTCTTAGAACAAGGCTCTCCACATCATCCCCTCAGTACTCTAGAGGTATTCTTACAAGTTTAAGAATCCTTCTCTAATGCTATCAGCCCATTCTGGTGTGTTATACACACATACACATACACATACACATACACTACACATACACATACACATACACATACACATACACATACACATACACATAATACATACACATATGCCAACCATTCACACCCAATTAGATTTTATAAGGGGATTTTTACTTCAATGATATAACAAGAAAAAAAAACACAAAGATATAGCAAGTACAAACACCACCCCCAATATACACATATAATTTGGGAGCAAATTCTCCCTTTGTTCTATGGGGAGAGTAGATTCAGATTTAATTCAGTTTCTACATAGCATTGTCCCACTAATTTCACATCTAATGTGAATCACAACTGGATGAATTCTCATCTAAGTTATCACTGTCCTGAAAGTTACCCTAGTCCTTGATTGGATAGTGATGAAAGCTGGCACAGATTCTAATTCTGGCCCATTTGGTAGCATGTTCTTCTGAGCTTTTGAAACTCACAAGGTCATAGCCTCTGATCTCCTTCACCTAAAATGGAAGAACAAGTGTTGAGGCAAAGACCCCAAGTCCACAATCCCAGGCACAAATCAGTCTCAGGCAGGGACGGCCTGACATCTCTCCCCTTACAAGCTTGTCTCTCTAGAAGTCACATCAAGAAAAGTACAAGGTTCTGGTCATCTAGTGCCTTTTGATTGTTCCCACACCCACACCTACCCCTCCATCTGGCTATACAGCCAAACAAAAGGCTCCTCTCCATCAGATGGAAAACAGATGAGAATGCCTGTAGAATGTTACAGAGAATCTAAGAATGCTTCAAAGTTCATGTAGTTATTGTATCAGTCAAACATTCTGCACGTGTTCATAAAGATGGGGATCATTGGTCAGTCCCTCATGACACCTCTATATATCTTGAATATACCTAGAAGTTTATGTGTTTTCTTCCCCACTAGAATGTATGATCTTCGCAAGCCAGGATTGTGGATTCTTTCCCTTTATTTGTATTCCTAGAACTTAACACAGTGCCTAGAACATAGTAAGCACTTAATAAATGCTCAGAATTATATTCAAACCCTTATTTCAACTCTTCTCTTCACCCACCCCCAATATTTATTAAGCCCCTCCTATGTGCAATTAGTTATCAAATCCTGACAATATACTATTCCATATCCATTGTTCCCTACCTCTACAAGGAAATGAGGCAGGTACATTCCCAAATCTCATCTTCACAGTCATTCCTAGTTACTATAAGTTTACAAGGTTCGATTTCTATTTTTCATCGTCCTTTCATTTACATTGTGTAGATTGTTTTCCTGGTTCTGTTTACTTCCCTTCTGCATCATTAGTTCAAAGATGTCTTGTCACATTTCCTGTATTTTTCATATTTTTTATTTCTTGTGGCACAGTGATATATCATTAATTTCATGTGTTATAATTTGTTTAGCCATTCCCAAATCAATGGACTCCTACTTTGTTTTCATTGTTTTCCTATTACAAAAAGTGCTAGCATAAATATTCTGGTCTATATTGAATCTATCTTTCTCTTTATGATTTCCTTGGGATATCTTGGACCAACCATCCTATCCCCTTTTGCACCTTCTGTCCCAAGACATGTCTCTTGTCCCTTGCTTTCTGTCCTTCATCTCTCTCATCATAGCCAGTCTTTGGTTCTCATCTCCATTTCTTTCTTCACATTGGAAGCAGTGTGATCTCTGGTTCAAAATGTCATGGATGTTTTAGTTACTTCCTTAGCATAATTTCAATTTGTTTTCCAAAATTGTTGGGGTATCCTTGCCTTTCTACAACCTTTCCAACACTGACTATTCCCTCTTCTGTTGTCTTTGCCAATTTTCTAGGGGATAGTTATTTTGATTTTTATTTCACTTATTAGTGATTAGAGCAATCTTTCATGCAGTTGTTAATAGTTTGCAATTCTTTTGAGAACTGTTTGTGCATGTCATTTAACTTTTGGTCCTATATATTTGGGTTAGTATCTAAGATATCTGATCTTTATCAGATATATTTTGTGAAAAGATCCCCCCCATCAACAGCTTCTCTTTTTATTTCGATTTTGTTAGTGCAAAAGTTCTTCGATTTCATGTAATTGAAATTGAATTTTCTTTCTCTCTCACTTCCTTGTTTAAGAATTCTCCTCTTAGCCATAACCATCAAAGTTATTTGATGTGGGTCTCTATTTTTAAAAAAATGGTCTGATATCAATCATTTATGTTGTATATCCATTTTTTTCACATGATATAAGATGCTGGTTGTCAAGGTCTACTTTAGAATGATTGTTGGTTCTGAGTTTGTTCCAGCCAGGTGGTAAAATATTCCTACAAAATCAAAGGAAAGGATTTTAAGCAGACAGACCCAATTCAATGAGACTTTTACATATTGGAAACTTTTAAAATAATCAATATTATGAGAATTCTTGAGTGCCTCACCTTTTGGAAACCACATATTTCCCAGGTCACTTTCTATCTTTGCTCGATAATACCCCAAGTGTTATTAATAGAGAAAAGAGAGGGAAAAGGTAGGACAAAGGTTTAGGGAGCTAGGGTACTGGGAGATGAGGAAAGAAATGGACGTGAGGACCAAAGACTGGCTATGACAAGGAGAGAGATGAAAGACAGAAAGCAAAGGGCAGGAGACATGTCTTGGGACAGAAGGTACAAAAGGGGACAGGATGGTTGGTACAAGAAACCATCTGCAGTTTTAATTCTCAGAATACAACTCAAGCCAAGAAATAGAAGAGGCTGTATGTCCATCTCTCAGCATGAATTGGTTAAGGAGTTTCTCTAAGTTGGACATCTAAGGCCCTTACCAATTCAAAGGTGCAGTCGTGTTATTAATCCTAGTCCTAGCTCTCCTTGAATCACTCTGGCCAGTGTAGACAGAGGCTTATAAATCCACCACGTAGATGACACAGACTGCCTGGCAGACACAGCAAGAGGTAGTGGAAGACAGGGTTGCTTAGTGATATGACATAAAGGGCATCTTTGATTCATTGTTGAGCTCCTGTACTAAGCTCGTGGCTGTCCTCCAGTGATGGCTGCAAATGGGCATTATCACTCCCTTAAAAATGTCACTTCACCATAAAATGTGAATGTTAAACATTTAGGCATGAGCTCCTGACTCCTTAAAATGCTCAATGTGGGTTATGTTATTTTTTTTTAATCCCTCCACAGTGAGAGATTTCAGTCGAGGATTTACACCTTCATGCTCATAAAATTACTGGAACCTTTCACCCCGGATTCATCAAGGAGAGAACAGAGATTTGCGGGGGACTCTACCTTGCTAGCTTCTACAGTGTATTAAAAATACAGCTCAATTCTGTCTTCTACCATTGCTCAGGAGCTGTGAACTCTGAACTTAGAAGTCTTGGTTTTATTTCCAATTATCTCAGACTCTAGAATATAAGATGGTGTCACTGAAGGTTCAGACACACCAAAAACAGCAATAAAGAATATTCATCAGCAGTCTTCTCCTTCAGATCTGTCCTTCAGCTGCCTCTGGCCCCAATAATTAGGTCTGGAAGTGGAATGCAAAAGTAGGAATATGGGTAGCATGGAAGTCTCTGGACCACCTTTTAATATGAGGCTCTGGATCGCAGAACATAAGTTCAAATGCAGGGCAGACAGATGATCTTGCCATAGGAACAAAAAGGTATAAATATTACAAGGAATCCTAATTAATTTGGGAAAGGCTCTGAAAAAGGCAAGGAAGATAATTGAGGTCATTGAGATAGTAGTAATGTTAGTAACTTGGTTGTGGCAAAACCTGGCATCAGAGATAATAGGAGTTCCAGTTAGTCACACCATCTATTTCTAGCTCTTTGTTATTAGAAATAGAACTGCTAAAATATTTTTATACAGAGGTCCACAAACTTTTTCTGTTTGTGGTGCCCTTCATGTCTCAGTAATTTTTTTCACAGCATCCCTAGGCCAAAGGATATACCTGAGTTCTATTTATTACATAGCTAAACCCAAATAGTTAATTGTTACATACAGCATTTGAAAAAACTTAGTAGACATTTGAAAAAAAAGACACAATTAAATTGAAATAAAAATATTTGAATTTTATTCTTAAATAGCCATAATTACTTACTAATTGGGATGTGTGCCATTATTTGGCACTGCACAATGTCTTGAACTTTGGGATTGGTCACAGCCTCCCTCATTTCTTGTTCCACATTGAAACAGTACTTGTTTTTTATCTCAGTAAACTGGAAAAATACTCAGCTTTGCAAAGATATGATATTACAAAGAAGAAGTTTTAAGAAATTACTGATATAGTTAAAACTACAAGAAAACAAAAATATATCTCAGATATTCATGAACATCACCAAAAGGAAAATAGTACAATGTACTGTTGAAACTGAACCATTTTGAGCTAGTCATTTGAAATGTGAGTATCACTGTTTCCATTGATTTAAAATATCCCATGGCACCCTTATGAGTTTGTTGTGGGGCCTAAGTACACTGTATTTTTTTTTATATATAGATCCTTTCTTGATGTCTTTAATTTCTCTGATATTCTATCTCCCAACTCAAAAACTTTGTACAGACTGTCCCTCATGCTTGGGATAACTTGCTTCAAAACTCAGTTCAAGTTATCACTGACCTCTTACATCAAGGGTTTCCTGATTCCAGCACTGGTTGCTAGTACCATGGTCCCTGAAGCAGCTTTGAATTACATACATATACCACACACACATATGTATATCTGCATCTGAATGCCTACCTATCTCTCTGTCTGTCCATCCATCTCTCTATCATCTGTCTGACTTTCATCAATCATATGAATATCTGTCTGCTTGTCTATTATCTACCAATCTACCTGCCTGTCTATCTGTCTATCTATTTTTGTTTATATGTGTACATGTCTTTCTTCTTAATAGAAGGGAAGCTCCTTGAGGGCAAGGATTATCTTATTTTGTCTTCATATCTCTAGTACTTAGCACAGTGCCTGGCACACTGTAGGCACTTTGTAAATGCATGTTGAATGAATGAAATAATTGGTTATGTAACCTTGGAAAAGTCATTTAATATCTCTGTGCTGTATAATGGAATGACAGTAATACTTTACATTTTCAAAATACAATGCATCAATGGATTATCTTCACAAAAATCCTAAGAGATAGGTAGGTGGGTATTATCTGAATTGTACATGACATAGCTTAGTCTCAAAGTCCTTTAATTATTTGCTCAGGTCACATGATCACATAACCAGTACTAGAATCTAGGACTTCTGATTCAGTCAAAAGACCTCCATAACTCACTGGGCATCTACTTTGTGCTCCAATAAAAACAGATGTGATGAATGTAATAATAAATGTAAATGTGCTTTGAAATTTTTAATTTAAAAATTGGCAAAATTGGACCAAATTTATAAAGGAGTTATCTACAGTTTGGGCACATGTTGCATTAGATAAAGGACAGATTCAATTTTAGTGCATCGGAGGGAATGCTGGATTCAAATCCTAGTTCTAATAGTCATCCTAATTTTTAGTTAGATGATCTTCTGTAAGCCATTCAATCTCTCTGAGTTTCTATTTCTTCAACTGTGAAATGAGTTGGTTGGATTTGTAAGGTCCCTTCCCCTTCCCCAACTCTCCAACCTCTCCAACAGTCTTATATGATGTATTTGTGTTGAGAATAGGGTTTCTTTTTTTATCTTAAGGCATCTTTTAGTTTATTTTAATGGTAATTAATATTACCATGAAGAAGCTTCAGATTTTCTAGCACCAGTAGTGGGATAGAGAGGAAAAAATAATATAGACACAATAGCA